GCTATTTATTTTATATTGTGTTTGAGAGTGAGTTTTCAAATCATTCCATTGTACATATCCGTTACAACACATGTCATCTTTAAATAAATTGAAATTTAATTTTAAGTCAATTTGATCAGCCTATAAAAAAGGGTCGTCTAATTTGGTGTAGAGAGATGAAGAATTAGGAATGCTATTGTACTACAGTAATATTATCATAGCTTAGGGTCTACTATAATTAGTCAAGTACTAAACGTGTAGGCGTACATTTAGCTAGGTGGTCATGTGAATTTCGGACAAGAAGCATTAATATAAGTTATTTTGATCGATGATGCATGTACAGCTTGCGAATCCTATAATAATATACTACCTCCGTTAACAGTTATTTGCAACATTTTGCATAAACGGATGCTACCTATTATTTACAACAAAATGTTTTTTTTTTTCCTCTTTTAATAAGGTTTTTTTGTATGACATGATCAAACTGCCCTCACTTAACCAACTTACTCCCTTAATCATTTCACTAACCATACTCTATTATAACCCTCTTAACTCATCTAATCTTAAAAAAAAAAAAAAAAAAAAAATCAAATCTCTCAACATTCATCTTATCCATCAAATTTCTCTCTCCTCCTTCATCATCACAATCTCACTCCTCCTTCATCTTCCCCATCTTCTATCCAAATCCGGAGGTAGTCTCCCGTGGGTTTCGTGGGTGTGGTGGTTGTGGGCGGCACGAGTTTCGTGGATGGTGGTCTAGGTTTTGTGGGTTTCGAGGGTGGATCTAGGTGTCGGTGGTTGTGGGTCTAGGTTTAGGTCTAGGTTTTGTGGTGGTTGATTTCCGAGGGTGGTAGGTGGCGTGGTGTTGGGTTTTGTAGGGTAGTGGGTGGCGTGGTGTGTTCGATTTCTTGGTGGTGGTGGTTTAATTGTAATTAATTCAATTCGTGGTGGTGGTGGTTTAATTGGGGTTTTTGGGGTTTTGGTGGTTGTTTTCGGTGGGTTTTGGTGGTTGTTTTTGTTGGGTTTTGGTGGTTTTCGCTAGGATTTGGTGGGTTAGCGTTATTTGGTGCGTTTTGGTGGTTTCTGGTGGGTTTTGGTAGTTTTTAGTGGGTTTTGGTGGTGGTTTTCAGTGGGTTCGTGGGTGTTGGTGGTTTTCGATGGGTTCTGGCCTGGGTTTTCAGTGGGTTCGGTGGTGGTGGTGGTTTACGGTGGTGGTGGTGGTGATTCTGGGTTCTGGGTTTGGTTGTTTAGTGGTTCTGATTAATTGTGGGTTTTTTTTTTAATTGGATTAGTACGTGCTTAAGTACATGCCCTTATATTTTAATAATCATGTTTAAAAACTTTTGCCTAAGACTCCGTGCTACCCCCTTTGTTGCAAATAACTGTTAACGGAGGTAGTATAAGAATGACTATTACGGAATTAGTTTAATACTATATGTCTATATGCTAAGGTATGTATACATCAAGCTATATGTAAATACCAAAATAATTAATACTTTTGATTATTAGGTTAAACGGAGTAATTATATAGAAATTGAACGCCAGCAATACATGCATGTATGAATGCAATCAAGATTAATTAAATCTTGACTTTTGATTATAAAAGTAAGTTGACTAAAAGCCATTAGTACAACTATTTCCATGTATACGTACAAACTTATTCCTCCGTAAATCATTTTGAAGCATATAGCAAAGTAATCAAGTTAATAACCTGAATCAGGATTAAAAAAAATTAATAATAACGACAAATAAAAAATTTAAAAAAAAAAATTGACTGTGAAGTTTCCTTAGGTTTTTTTTTATTTTTTTATTTTTTTTTTATTTTTTTTTAATTTTTTTTTTTAAATGTAGTAAGGTATTCGTGAGGATATATAATAAATAGAGTGACACTTTTATTGAGAATGGTATTTTAACTAGCTTCGTTCTACCAATTGCTACCTTTGTTTTGATACGAATTACTTGATTAGTGGTTTTTAAACAATATAGAACTTGTATTGTACTTTATTTAATGAAGAAGAAGATGGAAATGAATACTTCGTGTGTGTATATAAAGATTTAGGGTCAAATGAGAATTCTTAAAATGAGAAAGATGAAAAGCATTTTATGTACGCATATCTTTTGTACTTGACATGAATAATTTTTTAGCTAAATGTTATTTAGTAAAAAATAATAATAAATAAATAAACTCAAATTTGATTTGCAGATTTTTTTAACAGTGTGAAATTGTGCTTGTATGATATTTGTGTAAAAATTTTATAGTGATCAATTGAAATATGACTACTATAATGTTTTAATGATTATACAATTTATGATTGACTTATTTTTCTTCAAATAATACAAAAGTACATTTCTTTATTTTTGGTATAACATAGTAACATCAATTTTTTTTATCTATCCAATTTTTAGTTTCATTTGTGTAATTTTTATTTTTATTTTATAATTTCTCAAAAAATATTTTTGTAAGTTGGATTAAAATTTTCAAAAATTATATTTGCATCGTAGATAACATAAAAAAAAAAACCCTAATTGTGTCCCTATTATAATGTGAAAAAATGAATTGAACCATATAATTTAATCATTAAAATACTATATATGGTAGTCATATAAAAAAACAACCACTATAAAATTGAAATTTTTTGGCAACTCAAAATCAAATTTGCACATTACATTTACGTAATTTCATATGTTACACCATACGTCCATACTATAACAAAAAATGCATGCAGCAAAAATAAATAAATAAACAAATAATGCATGCAGCTATGCTTCTTACCCATGAGGGTGGCTGTCTCGCTCTTGCTTTTGCCGCCGCTGTTTGCCAAGATACAATATGTTGTTCTGCAGGCATCAATTACAATACTTTAAGGACTGATTTAGGAAACAACAATGCAAGCTAGTTATAATATACGAAGTATTGTATACTTGTATGAGATATGACTACAGTTAGTACTAAGGTAGGGAAGATTTGCTTTCAAAAAAAAAAAAAAAAAAAAAGAAAATAGGTAGGGAAGATTTTACTCCCTTGTCTTTAAAGGTTCTTTTGGTAAACCTAGTTACACCATAAGCATATATATACTCCTAACAACTCATTTTGTTTTTCTATTAGTGTTCGTTTACACATGAAAATTAGGTAAATTGAATCATTTGTTTCGAAGGATAGGGAGGGAAAAAAAAAAAAAAGGTGTATGATTTGAACAAATGAAGTATGGGTGAAAATTGAAGAATGAAACATAAAACAAGAAGGCCAGGTAAATAGAATATAAAAATAAATGGTGGCACAACTTTTTTCTGCAAGATAAGGGTAATATGGATTGCTTATTTAAATTATAAGAGTTAGTTATTTAGGGACATAGAAGATAAGATAAAAGAAAAAAAATAGAATATTTAAATAGAGTTGGTTATGAGTTGGGCTGGCTCGAGTCCGCCATAAGCCTAGTAAAGCATGAGATCATTTTTTGAAAGATCGACAAAAAACCTACAAAACATGGACCTTATTTAACATGTTATGTTCTAGCTTCTAGGCACGACCTACTTGAACACAAGACACACTAGCTAGCATGAAACTGACCAGCGTGTGCTCATTTTTAATACGTATTACTAAACATGATTGACTTTTTGGAACACTGAAAAGGAATTTAGGAACAACAAAAAAGACCAATGGAGTAATAAAACAAGATGGTAATCTAATTGCATTCACTTGATAATTGGTCATGATTTTATGAATAAAATGGAATAAATCTATGTTTTTTTCCTAATGAATGTTGTATAAAGCAAGATGCAAATTTTAAGGGTAGGAAAATGTACTAGCCAAACCTTAAAATTTTCTGTAGGTGAGGGATTTAGTTTCTTAGTGATGATCGTTTCTTGCTCGTTCTCAAGACTTTATATAGGAGACGAAAGAGTACATAGCATCTTGTGGATGAGCTTATTCAATGCCTAAAGACGAAAGAGTACATAGTATCTTGTGTTTTTTGGGAAGATATAATTGAGAATTAAGACTCTGGCTAAAAGTAGTTTTGCTTTAGCTTTGCTTAGTAATTAGGTTGAATGAAATACACGTAGCTTAGTATTGCAGAGTAATTGCAATACTTTTTGTAATGAATTGTTATATTATCAAATCGTGTGGAACATTAGAAGATTTTGGTGGAAAAATACCTATTTCTAGCTGCCTGCATGTGAGCGGTTGCACGACAATTAAGCTATATACTTCGTATATGTATTCATTAGAAGTACCCTTAGCTAGAACATAGAAGTCGTAGAAAATTAATGTGGCAAGAGAACTACACGAGAAAAAAGGGTGGAAAAGAAATAAGCGGTAACAAATAATCACTAGCTACTATAAAATATTTTACATACACTCGAATACACATAGAAGTAGATGCACCCATATGTGTATTTTTAGCTCATTTAACATAATTTTACTCATTTTAAAATTATTAAATGAGCATAAAATACCTTGGGTGCACGGTACACCTTACGACTGGAGTGAATATAAAAAATTTCATAATCCCTGTATTTGTATCTCACAATAATCCCACTAGGAACATTTTAGTGGTGATCTGAAGAGTCTCTTACCCTTCTTCCTATGCTCTAACCCCCAAAGGGACCTTTGCCTACTAATCCAATCGTGAGAGATTTTTGAATTGGTCCACTAAAACGCCTCTTCTTTACCTATATAATGATAATAATATCAATAACAATTTTATTTCTCCTATGACGATGCGAGTATGTAAAAGTGTACTCCCTTCTTTTCAATTTATTGATAGTCCCATTTTGACTTTAGTAGTCAAACTTTAAAACTTTGACCAATAAACATTAATATTACATAAAAAAAAAGTCATTTGATGCATAGTTAGATTCGTCTCAACGTGTAATTTTATAATATTAAATTTTTATAGTTTTTGGTAATATATATATTATTCAAAATATGGATGATTAAAGGAGTATTTTAAAGATCATAAAAAGTCAAAATGAGACTAAAAGGAGAATTTTAAAGACCGTACAAAGTCAAAATGAGACTATTAAAATAAAGCAGATCGAGGGAGTACTAGATACTACCATCGACCATATGTAATTGTTTACGCGCAAACAAATACAGAGTATGATACCATGATTAATACCCAGTACGGCAGTATGCATCCTTGTAATATTGTAAACATCGTATTATTAAGAAAAAATCGACACTATCAACCCTCGGCGTAACTAAGTAACATCTAATAATCGACACTGATTTGGGTGGTACAGACTCAAGCGCGCTAAGAATACGGTGTATTGCAGTTCCATCTATACTATTATTATCGTTCACAATACGACCAATAGCCTCATGCTCCCTAGCCAAGTTCTTAGAGTCTTTGGTCTTTGACTTGGAGGAGCTGATGATGATTGATGACTCCGCAGTCAAGAAGACAACGCCAGCACCCATAGCCTGATCCCCCTGGACCATTCCCGGGATATCCCTAGTGGCGTATTGTTGTTGTTCACGACACAATCAAGCTTGACCTCGTTGTCATCTTCCTTTTGGATATACGACCCATTGTACAGTTGATTTCGTATCAATCCTAAGAAATTATTGTTCCTACTGAATAGTTGCACTTTGAAGATCTCTTCAACGGAATTCGGGCTGATTTTGAATATGAACGCCACTTCAGGGTTTCCACCACCTATTAGCCATGAGCATTGCACCAAGACCATCAAATTGAAGTTCGTCAGAAATTAAATAATTAACAACTAATAAATATTATAAATACAGAAATTAAATAATTAACAACTAATAAATATTATAAATATTTTTATGCGTACGGAGTAGTAAATAAAAGTCATGTATGTTATCCTAAATGCACTAATATTTTAAGACACATTATAATGTTGAATATAACAATAATAAGCGTTAAAATAAGGTTTTTTTTTTCATGATACATGTATCGAACAGCTTGCGAATTCAATATTATATCTAACAATGACTATAATTACAGTGTCAGAGTTAGTTTAATACAATTTGGGTATTTTTTTTTTTTTGGGTATTAATCAAACTATGTAACCACCAAAATAATTAATTTTAGTGTCATTACACATAGTTATAATACAGAATTAAGCCAGCAATAATACATGTGATTAAAATAGTACGTTGACTCATCAAAGATATTACTATGACTATTTCCATGTTTGCTAAATTAAATCATTTTGTATTGAAGCATATAGCAAAGTAATCTAGCAAAGAACTATATGTAAGGCTAAATAACAATTTGAGTATGAGTTTTTTTAACACAGTAAATATAAGATAATTGCATTGAATTAATTGATTAAAACTGTGTGTACATCCTAAATTTATACAATTGAGAGGCTATACAAAGATTACAAAAGATAAAACAATATGTACATATTAAGGAGATAAACATAGAGCTAAGAAGGATAACTAATTATCTTTACAAAAATGAGATAAAGATAATATCAAAGAGATAATTATCCGGTATCTCTATCAGTAAATAGCTTTTGTGAATATTAAAAATAATAGGGACTAATTAAGCACTTGATCACTGTGTATTTAAATAATTAAATTGATTACTCGTAGTTAATTTATATCGCCATGTGATGTATTGTATCACCATTAATTCATATACTCAATACTCATATATATTTACAATTGCGTAGTGTAAGAACCTGATGTATCACCATTAATTCTTTCCTTTCAACTTCATGTATTTTAATTAATGCTTATCTTTTTGTTTCTAGGCCTTTAGCCGTACTTGTGAACTTCTTGTAGGTGGACCATAGGGCTGACTGGCTGAGTGTTTCTAGTGATTTTAGCTATCTCCAAAAGAACTCTCTATAGACGGCTTAGTTGAATAAATGAATGAAATTTAAGCTAGCTTCAATTCTACCAGTTGTTACCTTTGTTTTAATGGAGTGCTTACTTGAATTTTATTGTTTGATCAATATAAAATCTTATGATTTCAAACCCCCAAAAGCGTTGGTCACTTATTTGTAAATGACAAACACGGGAATTGAGCATAATGATAATGGAGATGGAGATGGAGATGAAGATAAAGATAAAGATAAAATTGCGAATAAAAGTGTGGAATTTCACATATACTACATATTTGTTATACCAAACTAAAATTAACACATGCATGTAGCTACATATACTTTACCCTCTAATTGAAATGTTCCCGTTTTGGAATTGGCTGCCCCGTTATTGCCTTTCTTGCCGTTCCTTGCCATTAGTTTCTGCAGGCATCGATCACAATAATAATTATATGAGGACTTTTAAAGTAACAAGAAGCAAGCTAAGAGAATGATAATATATAGTGTATATATATATGAGTATGACTATACGTCTATACTATTAACACAAATATATTATGTTTCTAATTTCTATAAATATAATAACCCATCTAGCTAATATAATAAAAGCAAGAATAAACATTATGGTTATCTGATTGCATTGCCTTAATCATTTTATGAACTAAATGGAAGAAATCTATGTTTTTTCCTAATAAATGTATAAAGCAATATGCTATTTTTGATGTTGGGAAATTGATATATAAGCCAAACCTTGAGCATTAATACAGGTGGGGTATTTGACTTCTTATTGATCAGTTGTTACGCTTGTTGTCTAAGATTTATAGGAAGTGGAGGATTAGGTTGGGAAGAACACCGATCATGGAAAAATTGATATATAAGCCAAACCTTAAGCATTAATACAGGTGAGGTATTTGACTTCTTATTGATCAGTTGTTACGCTTGTTGTCTAAGATTTATAGGAAGTGTAGGAATAGGTTGGGAAGAACACCGATCATGGACGTCTAAAAAAATATATATAATAATAATAATAATAATAATAATAATAATAATAATAATAATAAAACCTTAACTAATTGTATTCTCATTTACTTATATTTTAGGTTTGATAGAGACAAGAAGATTATTTTTTCGAATACTGGAAGTTGCAAGGGAAGTTTGATAAAACATCCTTTGCATCATGATCAAACATAAATTAAACTGATTGTTTATGTTCTGAATAACTTCTGATAATTTATATTGATTATAATTTAGTTTACATGATAAAACTTGTGTTAACATATTAGCAAAAAATATGATCGACATTAATGAATAACTAGTGCCATAAGAGTCAAACTATGTAAGTTACTATGAAATGAAGGTGGTGTATAAATTAATTGTCACGTACATTATTATCTTGAAATGTTGAAAATTATTATTGCATCAGGATCTCTATATGCTTCGTATAATCTTATTAATTAGAGGATGGAGAAAGGAAGAAAGATAAAGGAGATATGAAAAGTATATCAAAGTAATAAGTCAAACCATGATGCTCTCAAGTAAAAACATGTGTTGGTAGAAACTATAGTGATTTCCTGTATTAATTTTGGATAGAAAGGTAACATTTATGCCCAACAAATCAAAAATTCAACAACTACGTAAAAGGTTCTTACCAATAAAGACGTCATTTCTTTCCATGCGACCTAATCTCACATTGCCGCAAGTCCTCAACACTTTACTCAATACGTCGGCCACCTTGTGTATGGGCTTGTTTAATTGATAATTGGCTAAAAGTAGATTTGCTTTAGTCGTTTAGTGCTTTTTAAATATTAGCATTAGGCCTAAATGAGACAACAAAAGCAAATACAAAAGCATACAAGAATGATTATTAATTAGATCTTCTTCAAAACAAATAGTTGATGATCTTGTATTTGTATACACAAGTGGTTTAATGATGATAAGACGATTTTATACATTTGCATAGTTCTCTTTGTACCTATACTGACAACATAGCATTTACTCTGTGTAATACAGCTACACAAGTATAGTAGTTGTAATTTTACTATTGATTCTTTTCTACTCCGTATTGTACTATTATCACTTTATCAAAGATGGAGGCATTAAGTGGATAGATCAAGGACCCCATAATAATTGAGATCATGTGAGAGAACCTAAGGATAAAATGAGAACAAGGAACCAATCTAACTAGACCCTTAGATCATCATAATCGGATAGTCAAGATGTTACCCAAGCTAATTAATGGCATTTTTGTAATTACGCAACTTTTCAAACTGATTCCCAGCTTATTCACTTTAAACGCAATTTCATTTACTTTTTAACTGATTTTAATTACTTTTGCGAATTTTTCATTTACTTTTTGTAAATAAAACTGGAAACTAACTTGTAAAGTAAAAAAATTACGAAAATGCCAATTATGGCACAGGAAGCATGTGAGTCGTCCGATTAAGATGATTTAAGGGTCCAGAATAGTTCCTAGTTCTCATTTTAGACTTGGTTCTCATTATAACTTGGTTTATATATATAAATAAATTGATATATGTGTCATTTGGTTATATTTATTTCGGAAAGAAAAAGTCTTCATTTTAGTTAAATAATAACAAAATGGAAGAAGAAGAAGAAGAAGAAGAAGAAGAAGAAGAAGAAGAAGAAGAAGAAGAAGAAGAAGAAGAAGAAGAAGAAGAAGAAGAAGAAGAAGAAGAAGAAGAAGAAGAAGAAGAAGAAGAAGAAGAAGAAGAAGAAGAAGAAGAAGAAGAAGAAGAAGAAGAAGAAGAAGAAGAAGAAGAAGAAGAAAGAAGAAGAAGAAGAAGAAGAAGAAGAAGAAGAAGAAGAAGAAGAAGAAGAAGAAGAAGAAGAAGAAGAAGAAGAAGAAGAAGAAGAAGAAGAAGAAGAAGAAGAAGAAGAAGAAGAAGAAGAAGAAGAAGAAGAAGAAGAAAGAAGAAGAAGAAGAAGAAGAAGAAGAAGAAGAAGAAGAAGAAGAAGAAGAAGAAGAATTCAAAGTCGTTAAATTAAACTCCTTATCAACGCTGATTATCGATTAATAATAAGATGAAACAAGCTAAGATGGGTACTGTTGTGTCATCAACATCAATAATGATAATATACGAAGTATGTCTATGCATTATTGGATTAAGGAAGTGAAATTTAATCATAATTAAGGTTTATAATAGTCCATGTTCAGATTGCAAAACACTGGAATATTTTAGGTTTGTTTTCGTGGTCAACTTATAAGCTTGCACGAAAACGAAATAGATTCACCTAACATAAGATTGATATTAAGTAATGTCAAATGCGAAAGTCATGAATGAAACATGTAACGAACAGCCAACGCGAATATTTCAACCAACGACGGGGGCTGATGCTTTGTGTCACTTACCAAATTTAAAAAGAATAATTATCACTGTGGATGCGATGAGCGAGTTTTGAATATATATTTGAATTTGAATATGAATAGGTTCTTAATTACTCATTTGTTTCAAAGATTTACAAAATGACGAATTCATACTCTAATGGAATATAATAATTTAATGTATTTCATTTTTATACTGAAATTTGTCGAGCAACACAAGTCCAAAGTTAACGACATTAATATATATTTGAATAGGTTCTGAATACAAGAGTTACAAAAATGATATTCGTAACTCTAATGGAATACAATAATTCAATGGTTGATTTCATTTTTATACTGAAATTTGCTTTTAGGACCTATAAATGTTGTTGTGCATTAGTGTACATAGTTGTTGTGCTTTTGAGCGCTTTGGACTCATATTTGGTGATGTTCCAGCCAATTCTATCTGTCTTTTTTGTTATTCTTTTGCTACTAAAACTTGTGAAGTATTCACTCATACTTCTCTTAGAAATATATGTTCTGGGTCACAAACAAACTATATGTAAATTATGATGTGTTTCACATTAAAATTAAAAGATAACGTAAAGGCCTTCACGTTTCAATTAGCACGCATAAGGTCAAATATCAATTGATTTTTAGGATTGAACTTCAACGTGGACTTTGTTTGTAGACTTCTCTTCCTTGTGTCTTTAATTAACTCGTATAATACCCCATGTGATATGTAGGATTACGAGACAAAGTACGTGATAAAATATACTCCATACGTCGTCCCAGAATAACTGACATGTTGAATTTGTTTTTACTATTCATGTATTAATTTTGACTATAGTTTTTTTTTATTAACATATAATAACAATATATTTTATCATAAAATACGTTGTTGTATAAAGTTTCATTGTATAAATTTTTATAGTTTGCATAAATATTTACTTATATAAAAATAAAATCAACCTAGTGCATCGACATGTGTGCAAAGTTTGATGGAGTACTTAGAAAGAATTAAAAAAGAATGTATTGAAAATTCTTTTAAATTTTCAAAACAATGTATGTATGTATGTATGTATTAATTTCTTAAAATTGCAAAATATGTTGAAATCAAACTAGTTCAAGGCTTCAAGCTCAACTAGATCAATTAGGAGTTGAACTGAATTCCCAACAAGGATATATAGCAAAAGCTTGAGATCAATCAAATTATATTGTTTCTCATATGCAAATATTTGCGTTTTTTGTGTTTTTAATCTTTTAAGTTTCCACTAACAATAATTTTTTTGTTAGCTTGAAAGTATAACCAAAGGATTCAATCTCCTCTAACGTGTCCAGTTCTTAGAAACTTAAAAAGGGGATCTCAGGCCTGTCTGAACTATTGTTGGTTGAGTTGATTTCAATTAGTAGTGTTTAAGTGCAGGCCCAAGCCTATATCAATACAAATGTAGGCCCAATGCTAAATGAAATTCGTTTATAATTAGTTGTATCTATTAACCTATACTAAAAGCAAATCCTTCCATGACACTTGTTATTAATCTTGTGAAAAATTTTCCCGCCCTTATGCTTCTCTCCTTTTTTTTTTTGCAAAATCTTTAAGTAAACTATTTATATATACCTTATGTATTTTATTTCCAATTTGACAATCATATTCTATATATACCCCAAATGAAATATTTTTAAATATCTTTTATATACCTTATATTTTGTAATATTATTGTCAAAAATATTTAACAACCGTACATTGCACGGGTTTTTGACCTAGTTTTTGCATATAGTTGAAGATTCTGTTGGCCTTGGGCCACTTGACATCACTACTCCACTCTTAATTTTCCCCCTTTTAAAATGAAAATAATTACGTAAAGTTAAGAATATGAAATCACTAGATTCTCACCCACCAACATTTCCAAACCTATTTTTTCAAAAAAAAAAAATAAAAAAAAAACATAAAAATTCAAACTATGTCAATTTAAAAAAAAAAAAAAAAAAAAAAAAAAAAAAAAATCTTTAAATGTATAATTTGTTGTTAATAAAAAAAATGCTCAGATGGCTAAACGCTATTCCTATCATTACATAGGTAAATACTTTAATTTTTTTATTAAATATACTAGTGATTTAAATTTGTCAAACCACTAAAAGTCTTATATGTAATATTTGTTGATTATGGTCTTAATTTTTTTTCCCCCTAAATATACATGCTTGTATAAATTTAAAGAAAAATAAAAAGCTCATGTAAAAAGACTTTTTTAAAAATATCCTACCAAAATATCTCATCCTCAAAGGTAAAGGAAAAGGTACTTTTTTTTAGTTGTAGTACGTAGTTCTAAAATTGAGTGGTTGACTATAACGTTGGGCTTGTGTTGCTCGACAAATGACAACCATTCTTCGTTATTTTTTCTTCTACAATGAATAACCGCATATTCACGTTTTCTTCCATATTTAATTATTGTGTTGGAGATGAGTGTTACATTTATTATTTTAACAATGACTAGATTGACTACTCTCTATTTTTCCCTTTTTAAAAAAAAATAAAATACATTTTGTTTCGGGTGAAAACAATGGGACCTTGCCGAAGGTCCGA